GTGCTCAATATGGCGCCTAAGATAGCTGAGGTGTGTGCCATTTGCAACATACCAGGTCATCCTACTTATCAATGCTCAGCTAGTGAGGCTTATCCCGAATTCGTTCAAGAGCAAGTGAATCTCATGAATTCTTACAATCAGAGGCCGAGGAATGACCCATTCTCTAATACATATAACCCTGGTTGGAGAGATCATCCAATCTCTCATGGAAGAATAACAATCAATTTCAAAATTTCCAACCAAAGCCTGCCACTACGCTTGAAGATACTGTCAAAATGCTAGCTCAGAACACCGTTCAATTCCAGCAAACTACCAATAGTACTCTCCAACAACATTCAGCTGCTCTAACCAAAATGGAGACACAATTAGGTCAGATTGCTGATGCTTTGAGTCAAAGAGAACCCGGGAAATTTCCAAGCCAACCGGTGATACTTCAAAGGAACCAAGAGCAGGCCAAAGCGGTCATAACACTTAGAAGTGGTAAGGTTATTGATAATAGAGTTGGCAATGAAGTTACTAATGAATCTGATCATGTGAATGCAGGCCCCACTCAAGAAGAGCATGAGAAACCGAATGAAGATCCAAGCAATGCCACTTCTTCGTATGAAGCTCCAAATTTTCACAAGGCTGAAAAACCTTACACTCCTCCAATCCCATTTCCTGGAAGACTTGCCAAAAGCAAGCAGGAGAAGTCATTTAAAGAAATTTTTGATATTTTAAGTAAAGTGAATGTTAATTTACCTTTGCTTGATGTCATTAGGAATATGCCAGCATATGGGAAATTTTTCAAGGAGCTAAACACTTATAAGAGGAAGTATGGACCTAATGAAAAGGTGATGGTGTCTGAAAATGTGAGTGCTGTGCTTCAAAGAAAGCTCCCACCAAAACTCAAGGATCCGGGCAGTTTTTCTATCAATATCACCATTGGAGACACGCTAGTTGAAAAGGCTATGCTTGACTTGGGGGCGAGCATCAATTTAATGCCCTATTCAGTGTACCTTCAATTAGGTTTGGGGGGTTTGAAGGCAACAACTATTTCATTGCAACTTGCCGATCGATCAGTGAAATATCCAAGAGGTATAGTGGAAGATATCTTAGTTCAAGTTGACAAACTAATTTTGCCTGCTGATTTTGTAGTGTTGGACATGGAAGAGGCTCCTATACATGATCGTGAGTTACCTATTTTGCTTGGGAGACCCTTTATGGCCACGGCAAAGACTATCATAGATGTGCAAAATGGTCTCCTCACCATGACTGTGCTAGGAGAAACTGTACAATTCAAAGTGTTTGAATCTCTTTCTCACCCTTCTAGTTCACTTGATTGTTGTTCGATTGATGTGCTTGATTCACTTGTTTTCTCTAAGTTTTTCCTGGCACAATCCAATGATCCATTACAATATGTTTTGAATTTTCTCAAAGATATGATTTTCACTAGGTTTGGAACTCCGAGAGCTATCATTAGCGATGGTGGCAGTCACTTCTGCAACAAACCTTTTGAGGCATTGATGAAGAAGTACAACATCACACATAAAGTGGCAACTCCATACCATCCTCAAACCTCTGGACAAGTGGAAATCAGCAATAGAGAAATAAAGAACATCTTGATGAAAACCGTCAGCCCTACAAGGAAGGATTGGTCACTAAGGTTGAATGATGCACTTTGGGCGTATCGCACAGCGTACAAGACCCCAATTGGAATGAGCCCTTATCGACTGGTGTTTGGAAAGGCATGTCATTTGCCAATGGAGCTTGAGCACCGTGCATATTGGGCCATAAAGAAGTTCAATTTTGATCTCAAAGAAGCTGGTACAGTGAGGAAGCTCCAACTCAATGAGTTGGAAGAGCTCAGAAATGAATCATATGAGAATGCAAGGATCTACAAAGAACGAACCAAGCTCTACCATGACAAAGCAATTCTTAGGAAGGAGTTTCAACCAGGTATGAAAGTACTTTTGTATGACTCACGTTTGCGACTTTTTCCAGGTAAATTGAAGTCTAGATGGGTTGGACCATTCAAAGTGCTTCAAGTATTTCCCCATGGAGCTATGGAGATAGAAAACATCAAGAATGGGACCCGTTTTAAGGTCAATGGACAGCGTTTGAAGCCTTATTTGGAGAATGTTTCACAG